CTGGACCAACCTCGCCTAGATTACTAGGTCACTAGTATTCTAGCCGGTCCCAAGCCCGGATAAAGAGGGAGGGTTGGGGTGTGGTGCTAGCAACTCCACCCCCAAAACTTAACCAAATTGCTACTAAAACTTCAACGCACAAATATATTCAAAATTCTAAAATTACAAATAGTGACCTTATTTTTCGCTGGAATCGGGGAAGTGAAATGACGCGGGCTGGTGAAAGCCTTCGGGAAGCCAGTCAGCCGATGTGCCTTCTTTCGATGAAAGCAAAAATAAGGATGGGGACGTGGAATGTTCGTACAATGTACGAAGCTGGGAAGGCTGCTCAGGTAGCCGCAGAAATGAGGAGATATAGAATGGAAGTGTTGGGAATCTGCGAGAGCAGATGGAACGGATGTGGAAGGAGCCAACTATCAACTGGAGAGACAATAATCTACTCCGGTCACCCAGAGGACAACCACGAGCACACCGAGGGAGTAGCCATCATGATGTCACCAACAGCGGCTAAAGCTCTCATGCAGTGGGAACCAATCTCCTCCAGGATAATGACAGCCAGGTTCAACTCAAAAGGAAAGAAGGTTACAATCATTCAATGCTACGCGCCTACAAACGCCTCAGAACATGAGAAGAAGGAGGATTTCTACAGTCAACTACAAACAGTAATGGACAACGTCCCAAAGAGCGATATCAAAATCCTGATGGGCGACATGAATGCGAAAGTGGGAGGAGACAATACAGGAAGAGAACTCACCATGGGTCGTGAGGCCCTCGGTGAAATGAACGAAAATGGTGAACTCTTCTCAGACTTCTGCGCCTTCAATGATTTGGTGATTGGTGGCAGTGTGTTCAAACACAGGGATATTCACAAGGCAACATGGATTTCACCAGATGGACACACCAAAAACCAGATAGACTTCATTTCAATCTCAAGGAAGTGGAGACGGAGCCTACTGGACACAAGATCGAGGAGAGGAGCAGATGTGGGTTCAGACCACTATCTGGTACAAGGGACTTTCAAGGTGAAGCTGAAAGCCTCGAGGATACCTGGGGATAAGCCACAATGCAAGTTCAACACTCACAAACTGAAGGACACAATCACACAGGACATTTTCACTGCAACTGTCAGAGCAAAGCAGGAAACACTACGTGGCACCACTGAGGAATCATCCGTGGAAGACCATTGGAACTCTCTGAAGGTAATTTTCAACGAAACGTGCTCAACGGTTTTAGGAAGAAAGAAGAAACAAGACAAGGAATGGCTCTCAACGGACACTTGGAAGCTAATAGAGGAGAGAAGAATGGTGAAAGAGAAAATGATTCAATGCAAAGATGGACAAGAGAAAGAGACGCTGAGCTCAACTTACACAGCACTGGACAAAGAAGTGAAGGAGAGTGCCAGGAAGGACAAAAGACAATTCTACGACAACCTGGCTACTGAAGCTGAGAAGGCAGCAGGCAAAAGGGACCTGAGGACACTATATCAGATAACCAAGTCTCTATCCGGGAAGAGATCAACACAAGTGAAACCTATAAAAGACAGCCAAGGGAAGCCAATTACCAAAGAAGAAAGACAGATTAAACAATGGGCGGACCACTTCAAAGGACTCTTGAACCGACCACCACCTACAACCCGTCCAGTAATACCAACAACAGCACGTACACAACTGCAAGTTGACACCAATCCTCCAACGAAAACTGAAGTCTTGAATGCAATCAAGCTTCTGAAAGCTGGAAAAGCAGCTGGACCAGATGGAATACCCCCGGAAGCACTGAAAGCGGACCCAGAAACGACGGCAGATATGCTGACTCCATTATTGCAAAAGATCTGGAAAGAGGGAAAGGTGCCTACTGACTGGATGAAAGGTTACCTGGTGAAACTACCAAAGAAGGGCGACCTGGGACTCTGCAAGAACTGGCGAGGAATCATGCTCCTGTCGGCGCCAAGTAAAATCCTGAGTCGCATCATCCTGGAGAGAATCAAGGACGCGCTGGATACAGAACTCCGACCAGAACAAGCTGGATTCAGGAAAGGCAAATCATGTTCTGACCAAATTGCAACTCTACGCATTATCATCGAACAAAGCATGGAATGGCAATCAAATCTCTACCTCAACTTCATAGACTTTGAGGAGGCCTTCGACAGCGTTGACCGCGAAGTAATTTGGAAACTACTCGAGTACTACGGCGTACCCCAAATATTCATCAACCTTATTCAACAACTGTACGACAACGGCACATGTCAAGTGATCCACAACGGAAAACTCAGCGAAGCGTTTGGAGTAAACACAGGAGTCAGACAAGGGTTCTTATTATCACCAATGATATTCCTAATTGTGGTGGACTGGATTATGCGTCAGACAGTGGGAAACGAGAAGACAGGGATATCCTGGACCGACGTGAAGAACCTAGAAGACCTGGATTTCGCGCGTGGATGATCTATGTTTGATGTCACACAAAATCGAAGACTTACAAGCAAAAACCGACAAACTGGTCGAAGAAGCAGCAAAGACAGGACTCCAGGTGAACATAGACAAGACGGAGGTTATGAAAATAACCAACCAACAACAACAGCAGCAACATCCAGCGCCAATCACCATCAACGGGAGGGATTTGAAAGAGGTTACTTCTTTCACTTATCTGGGGAGCATTGTCTCAACCACAGGAGGAACGGACGAGAATGTCAAATCGAGAATCGGGAAGGCGAGAAACACATTCATCAACCTGAAACCAATCTGGAAATCTTCGTCACTCACCATCAACAACAAAATTCGGATTTTCAATACAAACGTCAAGTCAATTTTGCTTTACGGATCAGAAACTTGGCGGGTCACCAAGAATATTTTCAACAGGTTGCAGACCTTTATCAACAACTGTCTTCGCTCCATACTGAAGATTAGATGGCCAGAAAGAATCACAAACAAGAAGCTATGGGAACAAACGAAACAGGAACCAATCGCCCAACAAATATGCAGGAGGAAGTGGAGATGGATTGGACACTCGCTGAGGAGGCCGTTGAGTGACATCGCGCGTCAAGCCCTCGAGTGGAACCCGAAAGGGAAGCGGCGAGTGGGACGTCCAAGGGTGACATGGAGGAGATCGTGTGAGGAGGAGATGAAACAGTATGGAATAACATGGACGCAAGTGAAAAGAACAGCAGAAGACAGAAGCAAGTGGAGACGTGCAGTTGAAGCCCTATGTTCCACTAGGAACCCAAGGGAACAATAATATAATAAAATAATAAACCGTCTGGACTTAGGCTACAAGAAGGGTTCAGCGACTGGAGACATTTTGGAATACCATTTGTATTAAAACCAGGGAAGCAGGTTTCATTAATACTTGTAACACCAGAAAGTTTGGCATTTCTGGGACAATGTATGAAAGACTTGTTTAGTGTGCAAATATCAAAGGAATAAGGAATACTATTCATCTGCTTACCACCAGTAATTTCTTTGAAAAGTTTCCATATATTAGAGGCATTTATACTGGATATAAACTTTAAGTTGTAAATTGAATTCAATCTGTGCATTTCAGACTTGATTAGGATGTTAATTCTTTTCAAACCAGTGTTATCCTTCATTTTATATAATTTTTCTTTTTGTCTGCGAAGCATTTTAAGTTGGGGGGAGGAGAAATGGTCAAATCTGATGAAGAGCGTTTCACTGGGACAACAGGTGTCAAGACAAAATTTGAGATAACTTGTAATATTAGAGTTTGTGTCATCAAGAGAGTCTTCTTGTATCTTTGAGCATGCTTCTGAGGTTCTGAACATTCTCCATAGAGTAACATCCATGTACAGTTTTCTTGGAAAGGTGCGAAAAAGTTCTCTTGTGTAACTTTCCATAAATTTTGGGTAAAACCCGTACAATACAATGATCTGAGTTAAACAGTGGAGCTCTTTTACGATCTTCGTATATTCCGGAGTCATTTATAAATACAAGATCAAGGGAATTATACAGTCTGGTGGGAAAATTATCAACATTTTCATGACCCAGCACTGTAGGAAAGCTGCAGTCACAAGAATTAAAATCACCTTTCACTATGGACAATGAGTTTCCAAAAGAGGCAGCAGCGAAAATAGTGAATTCATCAGCAAGCATAGATAGTTCTGAAGTGCTACAACAAGGTGTGACACGATTGTTCGTGATAAAAATGAAGTTGTACTTAGACAGGTGTTAAGGTCGACATTTAACAGTTATGTAGTCAATATTGTTATTTGAGAATTTAAAGCAGACGTTGTTGGCAACAGACCACTGAGAATTGATGAATTGAATAACTTTGGTCTTGTCTCTACATATTGCAACCACTCAGTAAGATTAAATTGTCATCACATGAATCGTGCAGCCAAGTTTTTTGAAGCGTTATTACACCTGTATTACGGTAAATATTTGAACATAATAGAGCATCCAAGTAATTAATCTTGTTTGTACTCATTATCACAGGAACAGTCATCTGATGCATTGCAGTACACTTTAAGGATCGTTGCCACCCACTATGAAGCTTTTTCTTAAGGTTATTATAAACACGTGAATCGTCAGGTTGAAAATATTTTAAATAGTTGCGAGAGTAAGCAATATGATTTGGACACACAACTGAATAATTAGAACAAAATAAATCCAAGTAATCAGATGCATTATAAGTGACGGAAAATTTTGGAAGCCGAAGGTTTAAACAGGTCCCAAACGAAAAAAAGCATTACACAAGTCACTTGACAGAGTCTAATGGTTCCACTAGCTTCATTGTATAAATTTTTTTGTTCAAAAATAATATCAGACCTTAAACCTAAAAATAGCTGTTGATTAGAAGCTGAAAATACTAATATGACTACGGAATGACTTGCCACTGACCTCAGTCTTTTAAACATATTCACAATAACTTCGGAGAAGCAGTCATGTAAGTCAGTTTGCGTTTTCAGTCTTTGAGGAAAACAACTAACATTTTTTGAAGCGAGATTGACGACCTTGAAACCTGAAGTAGCGTCCTCCCTATTTCAAGGTTAAGTCGGTTATCTCGACCTACTGACTCACGGCGGCATTTTAATAGTTCAATTTTTCGGGTTTGAGGTTACTCGACTTTTGTTGTTGTGTTATTAGCTTTTCTACTGGTCTCATTTATTATGCATTTTCCTGTTCCTGGGTAGATTTCATGATATTTCTTATCACTGTAGGCAGTACACAAGGTTACAATAAAGGTCACAAATTCTGGAGTGAACATTATAGTATGCGTTCATATGAACTGTGATCAAGATTTGACCGGATAGTTGCAAAATAATTGAGCGCTGAGTGAGAAGTAGACATTTATAAAATTATATTTGTGAAATCTGTGTTATTTTAATTCGATTAATTTCCCTGAAGAAGTTCGGACCAGATTGCCGAACGAAACGTTGGAATTAATCATTTCAATTTCGCTGAGATTTTACAAATATAATTTTATAGTATGCGCTTTGAAGATTTATTTTCATAACATTTGTGTGTATTTTAGTATAAAATCTCAATGGTTTGTACGTGAAGAAGCGTAAACGTCCATATTTGAACCGTAAACTTAGTAATATATTCCAGCTGTTGAGTTTCGTAGTTTTGAATGTCAACTCGAACTGGTGTCTTCGTTATCGTGCTTTTGTATTTCCTACAGAATTCATGACCCTTTCCTTGTTACTAGCACCACTATGTGAGCAATGCATTCATCAGCGCTTCACTCTTAACTCAGAATATACTTTCAGATTACCTTTATATTATTTCAAATAAAGTATAATTATATTTCAATAGTTTACACACAATGACCAATAACAAAACTTATCATTGTGTGCAAACTGTTGAAATATAATTATACTTTATTTCATCTAATCCACAATGCTCAAACTTTTTACGGATATTAATCTGTCTTATATGAATTCCAAACATTAACTTCTCGATTTGTATGTAGTGAAGTGGTTAAAATTCTTATTGACTTGAATTCCTGTGATTGAGTACTGGGCACTAAATATACTCCTTGCCCCTAAGTTACTTCAGTGTGAGCAAATGTGAATTCAACTGCAATCATTGCTAACATAAAAGTACTACATGACAGAATCAGAGAGGTCGTTGTCCTTATCACTAAATGCATTTCACAAGCTTTATTTTGCAACAGGTACTCTTAATTCACTTTGGCTCCACGCCAAAAAATATCCTGCTTCCGGCAGTACTCGATTAGATTTTAAAGATATCAAAACTAAGTTCCTATTATTTGTGATGTGGTCGCGAAGAAATTTTCATTTCGATGCATAATCTAAACTTATGTACAGGTTGTTCTCGTAACAGGTTAAACGTAATATTTCTCATAGTTTTCTACTGGAAAATACTTCGAAAGTTACACAAGACTTTTGGAAAGAGACTGGTAGTCACCAAATGCAGCACTGCCACTCAGAATATTGCTGCAAAGTGATCTCTTGACGATGATATGCCGCAAGCTTCTATACAACGCGTTCGACTGTTCCTTTGACGAGTAGTTTTGGGTAGCTAAGTATTTAGATAATATAATCGTAGTCAGGTATCTACTTTCAAAGTGTAATACAAACACAGCCTCTGATTTTGCTGTCATATGTTGTATTCGATACATTTTCAGTGGGAAATAAAGTCTATCTTCTTGCAAATAAAAGCAGCCATCGCATTAGGACGGAACTGCGATGCAAAACCTTATGTACCTGCCCACAAGCTTTGCTTAATATTCGAGGGTTGCCCATACCGAAGTGGAACTGATGTAAATTTGAGTTTTGACCAACGGATTTACCTAGAACTCTGTGCAGTAGTGCAATAGTTTCAGTTGCCACACTTTGAGAAAGCATAACATTCGGGGACAGAATCATACTATGATAGAAAAAACATGGTTGCAAAGGAGATACCTATAGCATGACAATCAAATCCTTGAGTCAATGAGCTTCACCTCAAAAAGTGAACTGGAAACGCTTATTTGCAGCCACCGGCAAAGTTTCAGTAAGAGTTCAGCTGACGTTAATTTGGTTTGTACTTCAGAAATATAAGTTACTTTTCGACCGCTTGTTGATTCACAGCGTCCTGAAGACCCACAGTTAGACAGTCCATACTTCTAAGCAATCATTGACTTTAGAGATTGGTGTCATGTTGTGGTCTGACTACTTGAAACTTTTTCCCAGCCTAATCCTGTTTCACATAACACTGCTTGATGGAAAAGGCGGTGACTCAAGATGTGTACACTGCTTTTGATAAATAGCAGTACCAAAGGGGTAGCAGTTTGGCAAATGCTAAGTGTATCTTCCTTATAGTCGTCCATCACTTTATTAGGAGTGACGCAAATTCCAAAGTAAGTAATGTAGTCGTCATATTGAGCTGCTATTCCTTTTCGTCGAAATGGATAATGAAAAGAGTTCCAGTGGTACTTTTATTGCACATTCATGCACTTCTTCATTTCAGTTCTGCTTATTTCTTTGCAAGACGTTGGTCTTTTCATTTCAACAATTAATCAGCTTAAACATCTCATTTTTCCCAAAGTGGCTTGTTTAGTACTGCTTGTGGGAAAATGTTTCACTTATTGCACGTGAGCTCTTATACTAGTAGTTTTGAAGAACACTAACAAATATAAGGATACTTTATTTGTTATTACTATTCAATATTTAGTGATGGCTTATGGTTTCACTGAAAACCGACAACTAATTTGTGGTATTTATTGGTCACGTAAAATTCTTGAGTATGATTTACGATCCTTATAATTGACATTTATTTCTCATTCACTAGTTTGGACTTATATCGCTTATATTTCTCTCATATTTTTCTAGGGTACTGTTTAATCTGTCATAATTCGAAGTTAGTGGTGCACGTGGACATCCCTCATTGCATTGTCACAAGCAGTCAAAATACCTTGGAATTTTTTTACGCCGGCCTCTAATGTTAGTTGGAATTCTACAGTAATTTTCAAATAGGTCGTTTGTTGGTACTGATTGGACACTCTCCCTATTGCATGCTGGTTCCTATCTAAATATTGATGACATCCTGGCATCTAATGAGCGCACATTATGTCGTGTTCGTGTGTCACTCCCATCTCTGGCACCGTTACTGCTTTCAGATATAAAGGATAACATACGTGACGAGAGTAATAATGATGGTTATAGAACTTCAGATGACGTACCAGCAGGAAAAAGAATCCATTTGCCAGTATGGTTGGCTCTAGCTCTTGGTAGTGGTAGGAGACACATAGTTAGTATTGATGTACCTCTCATTTATCAGGTATGATGCTCTTTATTTGTCTAAAACACTTAGGATGCGTTTGCTGAAGTGTTTAATGCAGGTCCATGCGTAGTTGACCTCAAAAGAAGAGGACCTATGTATTACATCTTACTGTGCAATTTATTGACATCAGGTCACATCAAGATTCCACAAATTGTCGCCACTGGAACTAAGGTTTTCCAGGTGAGTTGTGTGTCGTAACTTTGAATACAAATATGAATTTCGGAGAATAATAGAAAATCTAAATGAAAATTGTCGAACCTAAATCGAAGTGATTTACACTGACTGTTCGTCTTTCAGTTGTTTACATTTTGACGAATTAGTTGGGTAGCATTATAACCTCTTATCATTTCACATTATGGCATTTCAGTGCATTTTTACTCAAAACGAAGAAGGCTATTTATAAAGTGTATGAATTTTAAAACTCGATGGTTCAGTGTATAAAGTGATTCTCACAGTAGTTGTAACGGATTCAACCATTTTTAACACGTCAACTTCAGATAATATTTATGACTTTTTACATCCTTTTTTACTCATCTGATGATTTACTATTTGTTATCATCTCATACTTAGTTAACTAAGAGACACCAACTCAAGTAGGTGTTTGCGAAATTCTTGTTGGATCATATTGCAGACGTAAAATAGCAGGTTGATCTGGAGAATGAAATGAAACAGGCTAATCAAAATGTCTTAAGCACTTTAAAAGATATTACCAACTTTATTTCTTTTACAAATTATTTAAATTCTGTTAATCTGCACATAAGATGAAGTACCGCTTTAAATGTATCATTAAGTATTGTTGCTTTTTCGTATTTCGCTAAGAGGTTTCTTCACTTGAAGAATCTTATTCTGGGGATTGTTTTCCCAGTAGTCCCACTGCATTTGTAAACATTACCGTAATAATCGCACTTATTTACTCAAGATGCGTATCTGGTTAAAATGATCAGAAACAGTTGAAATATCAAGTTTAATTGATACTCTGTCAAATGATCATCTGATACCTATGGGAAACTTGAGGAAGGCAACCAGTTTCCGTTTATTGTGTTTTTTCTTTTCACTTCTTTTTGTTATCTATCTTGATATGTGAGTTGTGAATTGTTACATTCTTAAACTACTGCACTTTTGCGCAAAGTTCTGTTTTGAAAATCCAGCTATCATCTAACTCAACAAAATCACTTAGGTATAAGTCTTAGCTATGCATATTTTGGTGGGGTATTTACTTTATTTCAGATTTCGAGATACATAAATATGTATAGTCAAAGATAGCCAAATTTAGTGGCTAAAAGATAGTTTTTCAATAAGTTGATCTGATGGTTTCATGGGCTTATTTTACTACAAGGTATGTCTAGGAAGTACCTTATATTACAGTGTGAAAATACATGGGGTTAATACCCCTCAGCTAAGTAGCTTCGCAACGTGGTCGACTGACTTGCCCTCCTTATCTGACATACTACGCCTGACCTCAATATTATTTACCATATTATACCACTTAATACAAAAGATGAAAGACAAATATTTGTGGTCAAAGATAGCTTAACTTTTCATATCTTCCACTTTCAATGGTCATTTCTGACAGCCTTAAAGAAGAATTGATCGAACTGTTAAACAGTACAACGTCCTGTGATCGATAGTTGGATATCGCGTCAATGGCAGAGTTGAAGTAAGCTGGTACATTCCACGTGAGTCTTTTACATCCGTGCTGAGATTTCGTCAGCAATCGGTCGATTAGGGCTGATTCAACTTACCAAATAAGTGAGGTGGTCAACACGCCCAACCACTTCACTCCCTATCTTTAGACTAGAAATTGGTACGGACTAGTCCTGCGGCATCATCTTACATTTTACAGGGGTGAGTCGCATGCCAAGCATGCTAGGATTTGTGCTTAATATGCTCACAGAAATGCATTTTGTCAGTGTTTTTACTTAGAAGGTTAATGTCACCAGTATACTTACAGTATGCAGGTGACATTGTAGCCACTGGTCTCTACCGCCTCATCCGAACTGATTGACGCAAGAAGACTGATTCCGGCGAGCTCCGATTATGAGGAGGAGCGAAAGCTACTCAAACGCAAACTAACAAGAAGGCTTCGTAACGACCGTGAACAGTGGTGGGTGATAAAAGCGAAAGAGATGGAAAAGGCATCGACAATTGGTAACACCAGACAACTATTTAGACTTATTAGGGAAACAGGTGGTAAAAGGCAAACGATAAGTGAAACAATCTCTGAGAAAAATGGCACCATAATTACCTCCAAGGATAGACAACTGGAGCGCTGGAAAGAACACTTTGAGGGACAGTTAAATTGGCCTACAACCACACTCGACTTACCGAACATCCAACACCTCCCTGAATGAGATATATACACAGGTCGTCCGTCCCTAACTGAGGTTACTAAAGCTGTCACTAGTCTGAGACTAGGCAAAGCAGCAAGACCTGGTGGAATGACTCCAGAGGTGTTTAAGGACGGTGGAGACAGTTTACTGTCTGCGTTAACTGAGGTACTAGGCAGCGTCTGGAAATCAGAGGAAGTCCCGTGGGGTTGGTGTAAGTCATTGATTATCCCGATATACGTGAAGGGAGACAATTCTTCCTGTAATAATCACAGGGGGATTAGCTTGATTAATATGATATCTAAAGTTTTAGGCTCAATTATTATGCGTAGATTCAGTGGTGCTCGGGAGAAACAAAAGTGAGCAAATCAGAACGGTTTTAGATCAGAAAGAGAATGTATTGACCATATCTTCACCATTCGACAGATTCTAGAACATAGGCATACTTACCGGCGTCCAGCAATCGTTATATTTCTTGACCTAAAGACGGCATTCGATTCTGTCGACCGAGAGGTACTATGGCGATACTTGGCTATAAAGGGAATGCCAACAAAATACATTGCACTGATCCAGGCACTCTACTCAAAGTCATACAGCCAACTAGATGAAAGCTTACGGCGAGTTGTCATCTGAACTGGTGACAACTAGTGGTGTTCGTCAGGGATGCCCACTATCCCCATTTCTATTCAATTTCATCATAGATGTACTAATGGAATTAACCGTAACTCACTTCAGAAACTCAGGGATTGACTTGTTACCAGGGAATAATCTCGTTGACTTAGAATATGCAGATGATAGTCCTTCTAGGTGAAGACTCCGAAAAGACTCAGAGTCTTCTGAACACTTTGAGTGGCAATCTACGAATGTTTGGCATGCGATTCGCTGTCGCCAAATGCAAGATGATGCTAGACGACTGAACTACACTGACTCCTAGTTTAGAAATAGGGCGTGAAGTAGAGCGTGTTGACTACTTCACTTATTTGGGAAGTTGCATCAGCCAACGCCAGCGGGTCGAAATCTCAGCACGGATACAGAAGGCTCGTTTCGCATATACCAGTTTACGCCGTCTCTGGCGTAGACGAGATATCCAGCTATCGACTAAAGGACGTGTGTACTGCTCAGTAGTCCGCTCCGTCCTTTATATCTGTGAAACGTGGCCATTGAGGGTGGAGGACATGAAAAGGCTAACTGTCTTTGATCATGGGTGACTGCTTTCTATCTCCCGTGTGAAGCGGTATAGTAGGGTAAGCAATACTGAGGTTAGGCGTTGAGTGCTAAGTAAGGAGGGCAAGGACAAGGCTGTGAAGCTACACCGACTGAGACGGTTAGGAATGCCTAGTCATCGCCTTCCTCGACGGGAAATATTAGCTGACATAGGATCAGGCTGGAAAAGAGCTAGCGGCGGTCAAACCAAAACATGGCATCAGTCAATGAAATCCACAACAGTTAGTTTAAGCCACGTAGGATGATGTGGACTTCCTGGTTGAGGTCCTCGTACGGTAAAAATCAATAGATGAAGATAATTGGTGATATAGCTCAAGCTTGTTTTCAATGGAGTAGATGCATCCACTCCTTGTGATTTATGATTTCCAGAGAAACTATATTGTTCTTCGTTAGTGCTATTCCTTTTGTCTCATACCCCTGTCTACTGTCTCTATTATGCATTTCTCCTACTTTCTTCTCTTGCTTTGTGTGCTCATGGAGTGTGGCGTCTTGAGCTGCTGCACATTGGTGCAAAGTTCTATGTTGAAAACAGACAGACAGACAGTATGCTGTAAGTCGAATGTGCCGTTCTCTGTTAACAAATCAGTCCATCACTACATCTATAATGAAAGCATAGGAAACAGTTTTGTTTCTCCGTAGCACCTTCTAGTGTACCCGGGATTATTGGCATTGGAATTTTAGATCCTATGTTAGTCAATTTGATCAGTTTTGTATTATCACGGGAAGGCCTGTCACGAAAAGGATTTCCAACAAGTTGCAAACTTTTATCAACATCTACCTTCACTAGCTCCACACTGAAGATCAAATGGCCGACCAGAAGCAATTAGTAACAGGAAACTCTGTTTGGGAACAAACCAACCAAGAGTCGATTGCTCAACAAATATGTATGAGAAAATGGAGATGGATCGAGCATACATTGAGGAGGCCGTCGAGCGACATTGCGCTCAATGCAGGCCATCTCTCGAGTGGAATCGAAATGGGTAGCGACGAGTGGGTCATCAGTGCGAGAGTGACATGGAGATCGTGCGAAGAGGAGATGTGAGATTACGTATAATCGTGAACCCAGCTGAAGAGGACTGCAGAAAATAGAACAAAGTGGAAATCTGTTATTGAAGCCTTATGTTCCACTCGGAACCCAGGGGAATAATAATCATAGTTGTTAGGTTATATTAGTTCTATTTGATCTTCAGTATGGAGCCAGTGAAGGCAACTGTTGATAAAAGTGCAACCTGTTGGAAATGCTTTTCCTGAAACGTCAAATTTCTGACCCGCATGGAAGGACCGACTTCACAATTGTGTTGAAAATCAGCATAAAGCTGAGTGCAGAACATTTCCAAACTGGTTTCATATTGATGAAGGCGTGTCTTGACTTTCCGATTCTGGTCTGCTTTGACATCCTTATTCGTTCCGCCTGTAGCTGAAACGATATGATTATGAGCAATAATTTGTGCTCGAAACTTCATCAGTAAATATTACTGTATAACACTGATTTTATCAAAATAAGATTTTATCCATAATGGAATATGATTGTTATTTGAACTTTTTGTATTTTTAACATATTTTTTGTGCATTGAAGTTTCTCTAGCAGTTTGATAGCTTTTGTGGTGTAGTGTCGCTAGCCCCACGTTCAACCCTCCCTCTTTATCCGGGCTTGGGGCTGGCTCGAAAACTAGCAAGCTAGTTAACTAATGCGAGGTTTATTTCTACATTGGTTACATCTATTTATCAAATATTGATTACACTTTATCAAATTGCCTAAATTCTACTCTTACATTAAGGCTATATTAGAGCAAGAAGTAACTGGCTAGAAATACGTTGTCTTTACGTTATCGCTTTATACGCACCAACTAACTATACCCTAGTTGTATTTACTGAACAGAAGTGAATTTTCAAAGTAGGACCCTGCAAAAAACTTCAGCAGTTCAAGTTGACTTATTTCATAAAAGAAAAGAAATGAAATGAAGCTACAGTCGACTAAAGCTTGCGGGTTAAGGAATGATTACACAATGAATGCTGATTTGACGAATGCAAAAGATTACACAGATTGCGTATATCTGCACTGCTGAGGACAGTTTTCCATTCATAACACTAACAGCATTCAGTCATTGGTTCTTAGTGTCTCGAAAACCCCAGCCAAGCACCTCTACTTTTGGCTTAAACCAACAACTTGATGGAATCGATGTAATTACCAGCTGGTTGTCCTCAGCTAAGCGTTTTCAGAAGATATCGGGTTGCCAACTTGGGACTAGCATGAACAGAAATTGATTCTAAACTCAGATATTTTTGTCTTAAGTGATCATTAAGGGCTAGATGATCACAGGACAAATAACCGCTTTTCAGATCACACCGTATTTCTGGTGGGTATCAACTTCTGGAAAAGCTATCACTATAGTGCTAATCCTTCCTCTACCAATCAAGCCCGAACTCCAATGGAGCACACTTGCATCGGCCACCGGTAGCGTGGGTTCATTCGAAATTTCAGTCCTTCTGAAACAATTATTTTGGTTCTGGTCATGATTTAATCTGTGTGGGGTTTAATTCTCACTTTTTGTTGGTGACCATAAATGTCGTCATAAACATCACTGATTTATGGAAATAGGCTGCAACTCCAACCACATCGAAACGAGGTAGGCTCAAGATTAGCTACTGATTCACTGGAAATTATAGACCAGCACTACCTGCCATGAAGATAGCGTGTAAAGTCAATCGCGGCTTGGAACAACTTGTATGATTTCTGTGACTTCCTGTCAATTTCTTGACACCCGTTTATCCATTCTGGTGGCTGATGGAAGTAGTAGTCTGTATAAGTCCATTATGCACTACTTACATAAGAAATGCGAAACCTGGAAGTCAGAACATGTGTGTAAGATGGGAGCAGTAGCTGCATTAGCCTCTAGTTCTAAGCTGTTCCAGTTCACCCGAGCCCCCGAATGCAAGTAGCGTGCTGTTAGCAAGATAGTCTATGGGATAGATGGTACGTTCTATAATCTACAAAGTCGCCTTTAATGTATTTAAAAATAGTCTACCTGGTTTATTATACCAGTCTGTAGTGTTCTTAATGCTAGTCCTCTCTCCAAGCTGAATATTTGTAGTGACTTTGAGTCTGGTCATCAGTGTCTCTGTAGATTTACTTGCATCTGGTGGTGCCTGTGATCAAATAGTTTTGAGATATGAAGGCATGTGTGTGGACATAGATACCATCTGTCAGTAATTGGTATCATCTTGTAACAGTGGCTTTGCTTACACATGTTACAAATCTCATCTCAGCAGCTTCTATACAGTTTACAGTTGGTTAGCTCTAAAACTGGTTAGAAGGAGATATGTGGTCAGCCTACAGCATAACGCTGTGGAACGAGAAATGCTTCTGTCAAGTTAATGTCTGTTGATAAATTACTGTTCTATGGATGGCGTCAGAGGGGTCAAAAGACTCAGTGACTCTCGAGGCATTATGAAATATGTCTCGGATTCGAAATTAGTAATGAACTTGTTGCATATTTCTTCTTTCTTCCATTTCTGAAAATAAGTGGAAGCAGTAAATCTTCTTTTGAATGTTCTTTATAGGTTTGATCACGCAGTTTCATACTATTCTTTTTTTCTGTTATTAGTTTAATATTTTGTAGCTTATTTATAAGTGATCCTGCTGTACAAACTTTTCATTTTAAATGATGGATCAAAATTTCTTCTGTTTTCTTTACAGACGCGACTAAAAATGGTCATGGATGCTTCACTTAATGCTTCTCGGCAGGAGACCCTATCATCTACATCCAAGTAAGTTCTGGTTGTTCACAAGTTGCAACAGAATGTTTCAATCTATCCTACTAACTTTTGTAGTTTGAACTGATTCACATTGATACTCTTTCTATTTGACAAAATAGAACGGGGTAGTTTAGTGCATTGATTATACCAATCGACTCATTTTGGCAGCTCACACATCCTAGATGTGGAAAAGAGAATCTTGACCTGTTTTGTACAGTTTGCATCACTTGTTCTATTCATATGTTGTTAAAGTGCTTGTTGAGGAAAGCAAGTAAGGCCAGGTAGTGGGTTTTTTCCATCCTGCCAAATCAGTTTTCATTAACATAAGCACATCTGTAGGTTATGTTCTCTTTCTCCTAATGTGCGTTTATGATTGTTATGCCATCTCAGCACGAATCCAAAATGCTCGGGCTGCTTTCGCTAACTTACACCATCTCTGTCGTAGGCGTGACATCCGACTATCAACCAAGGGACGTGTGTACTGCTCAGCAGTTCGCTCCGTCCTTCTCTATGGCTCTGAAACATGGCCAATACGAGTTGAAGACATGAAAAGGTTGACTGTTTTTGATCATAGATGTCTACGATCTCTTTCTCACGTTAGGTGGTATAATAAGTTAAGTAATGTTGGCGTTAGGCGTAGAGTGTTGGGCAAAGAGGGAAAATCAATCGACGAGGCTATTAAGTTACATAGATTGAGATGGCTAGGTCACGTGCTGCGCATGCCTAACCATCGCCTCCCCCGACGGGCATTACTAGCTGATATACGTGCAGGTTGGTTGGAAAAGAGTAAGTGGTGGCCAAACAAAAACATGGCCTCATCAATCCATGAAATCCTTGACAGTTAAACTGAGTCAGGTAGGGAGATGCAGACTTCCGGGTTGGGGCCCTCGGGACTCTAAGAATCAATGGCTGGAGACAGACAATAGGTGACATGGCTCAAAATCGTTGTCAATGGCGCAGGTGTATTCACTCTCTGTAATCTTTCATATTCCTTTCTACCATTACTCATTCTGTTTCACTCTTATACTTGTCAAAACTCTATTGATTCTCTTCACTGATCTTCTTGTCTACCTTTGTGTTCTATTTGGAACGTGGCAACTCGAACTGCTGCACTTCGGTGCCAAGTTCTATGTTGAATCCAAACAGACAAAGATGTCATAGAAATGCACTTCAGTACCTTAGAACTAGCCTGCAATGAAAATATGTTAACTAAATTATAATTCTTTTAATACTTGGCTATTTAAATCTGATAGGTATCTCTGACCTACTAATTTAACACTGGACGTGACCTCTTTTTTTAGACATCTTGCCTCTGATATTCTAGTTTTGTTTTGAAACTCACTGGTATTTCTACAAAAAGAACTTTTATATATGTTTATAGCTAACTCAGTGCTCTATTTTTATGGAATTAAGTTCGTATAACTACTGGAAGTTGATAGCTTGAACCATATAACTATAAATTATACTTTGGTTGTATTCGTTCGCTACTTGTTTTTTAATGACTGATGAAAGTACATTGGTGTTCTGTCGTTAAATCTTCTTACTGGATATCATTGAACAGGATTTAAAATTGACTTGATAAGTTTAGCTGCGTATAACTGGCTAGTGTTCCACGGTTTCCTTGAATTAAACATACTGGGTATTGATGCATTCTGTTTAAGTTTATAGTGAATGTAATTTATTTAAGTGTTCCACTGGAGTATTAACCACACGATGTGATGGCGTATCAGGCCACCTGATCATCATTGCATGTCTGGAAGAGAATCTGAACCCGTGACGTACTGTAACTTTCACCAAATGCCATTGATCACATCACTTGGATACATTGGCATGCCTCTTTTTTATTGGTTATTTGTATTTTTGTCGTCATTTGACTGACTGACGCGAGCAGTAAACACCTGGACAAACTGATCCTGTTATCTTACCCTTTTTCTTACTGTCCTTTTTGTAGCATTTGCCATTACGTAGACTTTAATGTATGCGCTTGGCTTATAGTAACTGCTACTGAATATATAACCACTGCTTTTTATTACGAGTTCGGAAGCTAGCCATCGTGATCTTGAGAACTTAACACTCAGTTTTGTTACTGAGTTCTTAGGTACACCGTACTATCTGTCTGTCATACACAATCACTTAAAATCTTATTTTCATAAGATACTGTTCTTATTAAGCTACTAAACAGCAGTTTAAACTGTCTCACTGGGTTCATACTAGCAATCAGTGGTCATAGTGCTTAGTGAAGGTCCGTTCAGATAAGAAATTCTTTTTCTTGTTTTGCGCTGTTGCATGGCATGATAATTTAGGCAGTTGGAATTTTGTGTTAAGTTATCAATTGATTCGTCTGTTGCTGACACCAGGTTTACGTTTAGAAATTGCATGTTTTTGAGTAGTTCACTGAAACAAAGTTAATCCTACTAAAAATACTTTTCATTTTCATTTTTTTTAAACTATTAAGATTTGACAATCTGGAAATGGCTTTATTTCGAATCGGTCAAGCTGCAAAAATGCAGTTTGAACTCTGGCTTACTCGTCGTCACCGGAAAATTGAAGCTTCTAAAGCAGTTCGTGCTGCGCTTTATAAATAAACTATTTGTTTATGGTTGAACTTCATTTTCACGAGATATTATTGTAGTTTTTGTGCTGTCATATATTATCTTTAAACAGACTTTAATGGTGACTTGTGAAAATTGTTAGATATTTACTACTTCTATTTTTGCAAGCAAATTAAGACTTAATTCGTATGCAGAAGCCTAGGGAACATTTAGTTTGTGAAAAGGGGTTTCCTCGGAGTATTTTGTTGCTTAACATATCTAGTAGTTTTGCTTTTTTGCAAAAAGAGGTAGGAGCGTAAGTGGCGTTCTATATGGCTGATTATTTCTTTGCAGATATTGCGCCCCCACCTAACATGTAGAGTCTGTGCGTATCTCAATATTACTGAATAGATTATCTACCGTGAAATTAGTTTTTAATAGGTTGATGTTTATGTCATTTGGCGATAAAGAAATCTAAAGAAAGAACTGGATAATAATTGGAGACCGAAAACCGCACAGGTTCTCTTTCACTGTAGTAATAAACAAATAATAGTATCACTGAGTGCACTATTCTAATTTTGGTTAGCTGTTATCGTTATATACTGACAACGTTTTCAGTGGAAAATCTTATCTTCTATGTACACGGATCACAAATTGTTGACCCTGAGAATGGTCGGGATTTTTTGATGTATCGGATGATAAATCTTTTCACCGTCACGATAATGGTAACGGGAAATATAGTGGATGTCTAAATGTGTAACGGCATTGAAGTTTCTGTCTGCGCATATGTTTGAATATTTGGAATTTTTAAGAGCAGAGAAGAAAGCAGGAGTTCTGTCAGGCAATTTTAATACATGATACAAGAAGAGAGATACAATATGTTGATATTTGAAAAGCCGGAATATGAGATAATATTTGATAGTGTGGAAAATTCCCATATTATGAATTAAAAGTCAATCTGAACGAAGAATATTCTTTTCAATAATTTCTCTTCAGGTTCTTACAATTATAAAATATAATATTTGTTGTCGTTACAATAAAGGCCAGTTATGCGGCAGATACATTTTTAACGTAGAATAACAGATTAGTTATTGGGTGTCAAAATAAATAGTCGTATTTGTGTGACAAACGTGCTAGGCTGAATTCGATTACAAAATATTGTAAAACGGGAGACAATGGTGATTAATCATAATAGATTTGTAGAGTGTGGGGTAGGAAAATTGACAAGTCAGTTCAAGGTTATAAAAGGTGTCAGGTGAGTGGCTAGTACAAAGTGGTCTGTGTTAAACAGGAGATAGTATTCAAATGAACTGTCGTCAAGATTTGACAGAATAGTTCTAAAATATTTGGGCGCCTAGTGAGAAGTAGACATTTGTAAAAAATTATATTTGTAAAGTCTCAGCGAGATTGAAATGAGTAATTCCAACGTTTCGTTCGGCAATCTGGTCCGAACTTCTTCAGGGAAATTAATCGAAATTAACATAACATAGGTTTATATATAAAAAGGAACATCACTTGTTTTTAAAAATTTGTCCAATCATGAGTCATTCAAAAAGTACCAACAAGTATAATAAACAAAATTTTTATGAGCTATGATCAAAATTTGACCTCGGACTTACAAATATTGGTCTACCTTTGTTAAACACTTTAAACAGAGTGTGTATGTGTGTGTGGGTAAACAGTTGTAAAACATTTCTTAACGTTTCCATAAGAAGATATGGACAGTCGAGAATTTTGACCAAGTATTAATAATTAGTGATACATATCCATTTTTATTTATTAATAAGAATTTTCTATGCATCAGCTAACATCACGCCTTCATGTCTGTTCAAACTGTTAGTAAGGCTGCAATGGGAGGTTCATAATGAGATAACGAATATGTGAAATGAAACAGGTGGAGGCATATATTGAGAAAAGAGATAATATCACTAATAATAAGTCCGGATAGTATAAACGAAAAATTCGATATTATTGAGAGAATGTTTGCATGAAGGGCATAAATTATGACGAGTAATATTAATATTAATAATATTTGTAATAATAAGCAAAGGAAAAAAGAAAGCCAAGAGGGTTAAGGGGAAGGAGCACTCTTGGTGAGAAGAAGAATCATCAATCCAAGTTTGGCCACGGTAGGAACAGCGTCTGGACGTGTTCTTTTTGGATACAAAGTTCCGGTTTAGTCGATCTTATTGCAACAGCTTCAGCTATGTGTAGGAGACGTAAGCGAACTGTACGTGATAACGACTTCGGAATTCGGTATATAACCCTGAAAGCTGTGTTGACATCGATATGATGTCCAGTATCGACCAAGTGTGACAGGATCGAGCTTTTTATGCACTTAATTTCCCCCCTGCTGAACGAAGCTGGTAAATGTTCTCGAACCCGTAGACGAACCTGCCTAATCGTGCGCCCTATATAACTTGAACCACAGGAACAGTTGAAATGGTATATGCATGAAGAAGAGCTAAGCTTAGGTAAGACATCTTTGAGTTGCTGGGTGAACATTGGACGGCTACTGAAGGATAGACATAGACGTGCAGAGTAGAAAGTTTTCTTGATCTTCCTGGTTAAACGTTGCTATGGAATCTCCGCAGGAGTATCTCCCTTGAATTGGATACGTAAAAACAGAGGCTTTTTCTCCACCGTTGCCAGTTCATATTTACGACTATTGTAACCTATGTTGGCTTTAATGAACTCTGGAAATCTATTCTCGCTTAGAATGTCTCGGATGACCTGGATTTCTTTCTCTACACAGTCTTCGGAACAAATAGACCTTGCTCTAAATGCTAAGCATCTGATCAGGTTAAGTTTGTATTTCATCGGTACAAACCTAAGGAAGTGTGTATACTGAGCTTTGGTCTCTAGCTTTCTAAATATGGTTCTTTTGACAGAACCATCCTCTCTTCTCGTTAGTAGGACGTCGAGGAAGTGTAGAGAGTCGTTGCATTCTCCGTAGGTGAAATGGACCGCTGGGTGAGCAGTATTGAAGTTGCTCAGAATCAAATCACTACTTAACCCTTCATCGTACACTACAAAAGTGTCATCCATGTAATGACAATACATTTCCATGTTTGCTATTTCCTCTTTCGACGGACTATTTTCTAGTTTTGCTAGAAATATATTCGCGAAAATGGGTCCCAGTGGGGATCTCATGGCTACTCCGTCAACCTGCCTGTATATGTCATTATTAAACAAGAACTGAACATTTGCTGTACATTTAACAGGTAGTTGTTTCAGATTACTAATCGGAATATCAGTGCACAATTTCTTTTCTATAGTCTGTTCGCAGATATAATCGATGGTTTCCACTAGAGGCACATTAGTGAATAGAGATGAAACATCAAGTGATGCCATGTATTTACCAGTTGCGTTAAAGTTTTTGATCTTATCAATAAATTGAAAGTTATCCTTGATTCTATGCTTTACTAACTCGTCATGCAAGGGCTGAAGTAGCTGTACCAGCCACTTCGCAGTCTCTTGATAGGGTGAATGAGACGTGTGTATGGGGCGTACGGGTACTCCTGATTTATGCACTTTCGGTAGACCATACATGCGTGAGATGGTGCTCCCTGTGGGTTTTATGTTCTCGAAAGTCTTTGGTGATGTATACCCATTACCCTTCAAATCCTTTAATAAGTTTGTTATTTCTCTCTCTATTTTCTCCGTATGATCTTTCATTGCTTTTGGCTTCTGAAACTTGCTGCCGTTAGCTAGTATGGAGTTCATCTTGTTGATGTAGTCCTGCCTATCGATAATGACTATCCCCGGTCCCTTATCCGGTCTGGTAATAACTATGTTTTCATTTCGTCTTAGTCTTTTAACAGCTTCTCGATGCGCTTTTGTGAGTATACTGTGGGGGCTTATTCTTATCCTTCTGTCTATACTGATAGCAACAGTCTACCAGGATTAATTTGAATCTTTCTAGGTCCTCATCAGAGGAGGCAACCAAGTCCCCTGTTTGTATATAGAAGTTGTCGAACTGTACATCGGTGTCAATCTGACTAATCTCCGTACGAAAATCACAAAACTTAGGTCCTAGAGATAACGCTTCAAGTTGTAGTCTGTCAAGAGTCACGCTAGAAAAGTTATGCACGTACCTTTCGGGATTAGCAGGAAATCGAATTCAGCCTAGCACGTTTGTCACACAAGTACGACTATTTATTTTGACACCCAATAACTAATCTGTTATTCTACGTTAAAAATGTATCTGCCGCATAACTGGCCTTTATTGTAACGACAACAAATATTATATTTTATAATTGTAAGAACCTGAAGAGAAATAACTGAAAAGAATATTCTTCGTTCAGATTGACTTTTAACATGAGATAATGTTTCCAATAAATGAAATTCATGAAAAGATGAGATTTACAGATCAAGCTGCAGTGTTCTACTGTATCTTCATTTACAGTCGTTTTTGTGCAGTCAGTCTAGATAGCTGGATTATGGTAAGACATAAATAGGAAAATCGTTTTATTTCATCGGTAAGTAAGAACTGGAGTGAGCTCTACAATCAAATATGTGATATTAGCCAATTCATGAAAAATTCCCATTCGAACATTAACAGACAGAAGACAACTAGTTCAGCGAAGAGTCTCTTTTCGGCGAATTCATTTTCATAGCTGTACAATCGCAAATATATATGGTTCTTTTGTATGTGTGTGTACATTAAATTTGTCAAACGAAAATGCAATTAGTGAGTCCAGATGAATTGGATGTTGATATAAGAGAGTAGTAACAAAAGTGATGAGTTGTCAAAAACGATTGTTAAAGAAGAGTTACGTAATAACATGAATAGTTTAATGAAAGAGTTGTACTCAGGGTGTACATGGAAACAAAATATACGGAATTACACAAGGGTTTTAAGTAGAAAAATAAGCATACAAACAAAAGTTAAGTCAAATCAAACAAACAAAAGTTAAGTCAAATCAACACAGTTGTTACCATGGGAGTAGAAGTAGTTGAATAATTTTCTTTTGTATGCACAGTTCTGGTTCCTCTAGCTTAATGGTTAGAGCTTCTGCGATGCAAAGAAGACGGAATCGTACTGTCTTTGGAAGGTTGTTCTTCACTTTGTAGATTACTTTGAAGGAGGCGTTTGTTGAGATGAAATGAC